AGAAATTTTAAAAGACTTAATAGTTCCGTTTCCAATATCTATTCACAATAATGAAAGTTGTAAATTTGTACACAGTATATTATTTTTTAGTTTCATAATTTTAAAGTATTTCCATAGAAATAAGTACTTTATAGTTTTACTAATTATAGAAATTTTACACCCATGATTGTTTATTAGAAATAATAGATTGCTAATTTATAACATAAACGCTTATCATCTAATGATCCAGGGCACCTACTGGCTACTCAATTAATCTTTAAAGTACGATTAAACAAAACAAGTGCCAATCACCAGGTAACTTGAAACGCTTATTGGCTGCTTTATTAGTTAATAAATTATTACTTCGTGATTTAAACACGTCATTAAAGGGAGCTTTAAGGAAACTCAATAAATTAATTTAAAAACAATGAATAACGCAAGTGCCAATTACCAGGTAACTCTGGGCGTTTACTTGCCACTTGAGTACATTATAAAACAATACTTCATAACACAAATCTAGACAACTTCGGGTGCCTACTGACTACTAATTAAATCAATCAAAACCATACGTAACATCATCACGTGTTAGCAGGTGATTTAGGGCACTTGTTAAATATATAACGAATTCTTAAAACATTACGCAATAACAGTATACTCGTCAATAAATAACTATTGCACTAGTGTTATCAAGTAATACTTCATTAAATAATGAAGTGGTCAGAAAACGTTCCGGGTCATCTGGTATTCAGCGCTTGTGTTATAAAGTGACACTTCATTAACTAATAAAGTAAGCAGTTAGCGTTTTGAGTTACCTGGTTATTGGTGTTAATATTGTTCATCGTTTTTTTATTAATTTATGAAGCAGCCAGCAAGCGCATCAAATTATCTAGTGATAGGAACTTGTGTTATTTAATAGTGCTTTATTGACATATCAAAAGAGCAGTCAACTCCCTGGGTTGCCTGATCATTTTCACTTATGTATGAAAGTAACAATTTATCAACTAACAAAGTGGAAAGTAAGCGTTTTAAGTTACTTTATAATTAGTGCTAGTGTTAATACCTATTTTTATTATAATTTATTAAGTTGTTTGCAAGCTCCTCGAAAGTTATCTGATGATTGGTACTTGTGTTGTGTAATCGTATTTTATTTATAAAGTGCCTAGTATGTACTCCGGGTTATCTGGTGATTAGCGCTTATACTATAAAATAAAAATTTATCAAATTATCAAGTGGCTAGTAAACATCCTTAGTTACCTGGTGATATGCGCTTGCGTTAGGAAGTTACAATTTATTAACTTATAATGAATCAAGTAAGCGTTCTGGGTTATCTGGTGATTGGAACTTGTGTTACAAAATAATAATTTTCCAACTTATAAAGTGGCCAGTAAGTGCACTAGGTTATTGGATGATAGGCCCTTGTGTTATTAATTAACAATCTATTTTTTAATAGAGTGACCAGTAAACACCCTAGGTTATCTGTTGATTAGCGCTTGTGATAAAATAATAATTCAATAACTTATAAACTGGCCAGTAAGTGTCCTAGGTTATCTGTTGATTGGTGCTTGTGTTACAAAATAATAATTTTGTAACTAATGAAGTGGCCAGTAAGCGCCCCGGACCATTGAGTGATAGGCGTTTGTGTTATAAATTAACAAATTATTATTTAACAGTAAGAGCCCTAGGTTATCTGGTGATGGGTGCTTGTGTTATTACTTAAAAAGTATTATTTTTTATATAATATATGTAAGAAATAAATCAACTATATATTGTATGTATACGTCTGTGTACAATAGGTTGGTATAAACTAAGCGTAGCTACAGTTTTTATGCGTAAGATATTGTACAGTTAGTAGTATTGCGCTCGTCGACAGGTACAGACATTTGCAACGATAGGTTCACTAAGAGCTACTATAGTATACGCATGTTGGCAAGAGAGACGTCTCAAGCCACTTTCGCTTTGTTATGTACAGTAGTCCGCGTAGCTGAAGCCTGTGTAAATAAATATAATTTAATTTTTATTATAAGTGGGTGAGTGTATTAGTAAAAAACTGATCAGTGTATCCATTACAGAATATAGAAGAGCTCTTTTAAAAAGTTGTTAGTTATGTAATCAACAGAACATTTATTTCTCCTTTCACCTGACCACTGCTGCAACATATCTGCTAATAAAAGTTTTTAATTTTAGCTTGTTATAAGTAATTTTTTTATTTAATACATGTATGACTGTTTATGGCACTAGGCAACGAGGTTAAATAAATTATGATAAACTAAGTTAAGTATTTGAAGGCTTTGAGATTTTTGGGCTAAGTGATTAAAAACTTTAGGGTGACCGGGTCATTGGATCTAAGAGCTTGGGTTAGAGTTTTTCAATTTTCCCGGGATTCTGGAACCACTTTTGAATTTTGCCCTATTTGTACTGAACTGTGCTGCTTACTAAGGTAAAGTACCCAGTAGTTTGACACTTTTGACAGTCAAAATTTTGTTTGCTGATTTATAAAAAACTAACAAAAAGTGATATGAAAAAAAACATTGCATTAATTATTTAAATTTATTTTTATTTATTAGAAAAAAACTAATAACATAAGCTTAATAAACAAAGAAAAAATTAATATCAAAGAAAAATCATCAAGACCCAGTACCTGGACACAATTGTGAAATACAAAATAAAATACTGAAACCAACATTTTTTACCATCCAAGTACCAGGTATAGGAAAAATCTTATGTTATCGAATGGAAGCTATTCTTAGACAGAGTTATTTATATTTTTTGATGTGTTCAACTCTGATAAACATAAAAAAAAATTATAATAATATACATTTTGCAACGTAAATTTAATTAGAAAATAACTTGAACGTTCTATGCCTAACTATAAATTATAATTTTTAGCGATTTTTTCCGTGTCCCAGTACTGAGTATAGAAATACTCCTATTATATTAAAGGGATCTATTATTAGACAGCAGGCTTACATGCTTCGCATTTAAAACATATTTTTTCACTTCAAAACGAAAAAGAGTTTTAAAGATAGTTTTTTTCATCAGCCATTATTGTGCATTGATAGATTATAAATAAATTTGTTTTTCCTACATGAAAACGTCTTCTATTCGAAAATGTTAATTATATTAGACTGTCCAATTGCTGGTGCTATTTTTATTACTGTCCCACTACTGGGTACTTCACCTTATCGGTAGCGCCAATTCAGTTCATTCGTCTGGGACATCGGGCTATGCAGCTCTGCGTATAAAAGAGAAAGAATGATCTTACTCGGCTTGACTAATAGCTGTTTGATAGGATTCTTTAAATCAGGCTGCAACTACGTTCTGGCTGGCTATTCTATTTTTACATAGGTTTGTCAATCTCTGCTATCCCACTAACACAAAAAAATATACTTTATAAAACCTATGTGGTGACTAAGAATTATGGACAGAATTCTTAAAACTCTACAAATTAACATGCTCTTCAAAATAAGATTTTCCTACACTTATTTCTAAATCATTATAGAGGAGGCTAATAATCAGGTATTTTATTTGTTCGCATGCTACATTTGCCATGCTATCTTCAAAGAGGTAGAGTGAAGAAAAAAAAAAATAACTGTGTTAGGTGATGGGTGTGGAATCATCCAAATAAATAGTATTTTTTAGAAGTATCGGCACAAAAAATTATTAAAATATTTATTGAATGCGAAATTTTATATTATTTTGAAAAAGTTTTCAATCTTTTATAGACCGAGAGCTGAGGCTCGAGGGTGGTCGAAGTTTGACCAGCCGCTACGATTATACCAATTGAGGAACTTTAAGATTCGTAGAGATTCAAAATATTTTTGTCATTTCATTCTGGTGAAGAGTTTTGTTGGTATTGAAGAAGTGCCATTTGCGGCAAGGTTAGAATGCTGCACCCGAAAATCGACATTCAAAAATATACATACTGTAATCTTATAAAACAATACCTCATATAGATGAGGATTTTAGATACGATCAGTGTTACATGATCGGTACGGGAAAGTCATTTTTCCACCTTCTAACTTCAAAATAGATTTTGGGTTCTCAGGCAGGAAAATAGCATACAAAACCCGTTCGAAAAGGCTTCTTTACGAACCTCGTTACGGCCCTCGCCTCCGGCTCGTGCCGTAAACCTTTCGGTTCGTAAATCGAAGCCTTAGCAAACTCGTACGCAATACTATTCTCACCTTTATTGAATCCAAAAATTGCTAGAACTTTGATTTTGAAAATAAATTTAAAAAAATAAATAAATAGCTGGCAAAGTTGTGGCTTGGTTTTTTGGGGGGGATATTTTATTGACGGTCGATTTTCGGGTACAAAATGCATTCTAATCTTGCCGTAAATGGCGCTTTCACATCAGTCTTTCATGACAACTTATTGTTTCGTATCCACTGGTTTAAGTTGCGGCTGGTTTATAAAATAGACCATATGGCACTTCTTAAATACCAACTAAATCCTCCACTAGAATGAAATGTGACCAAAATATTTTGGATCTCTACGAATCATCAGGTTCCTCAATTCTGGTAAGAGTGGCGACTTTAAAAGAAGAAAAGCTATAATAACAAGTATCTATTAATGATACATATTTAATTGTCCCAAAACCAAAAAAATTTGGATGAAAAAATAGAAAATTTCAATTAACAAATCATTGCACTCGATAAAACACTGAGCCATATTTATATATGTAATATATGATTATTTGTATAGTGCATACAAGTCAATCTATTTCTGAAACAATTCGTGTTTAACAAGAAACTATGTTTACATATTAGGTAAAATTTTATTCGCTCAAACCTAATGACAGCTATTCAAGTACCACCCAATGTTTACATTATAGTAAAAATTGGAAAACACATAAAATACACAGAAGTATTTATTAACTTGATTGCAATAGACATTAACAAAATGCTGTATTACAGCAATAAAAATTTAAAAGTAATGCAAAGTGTCAAAGAATATTGACGCTTACATAATTTGAATTCATATATCAAATGATAGACTACATTAAACTAGAAAATACTTACAAATACTTTGTACCAATGAGAATCACTTGCATGAAAAATGGCTCTATCATCTCTTGAACAAGCCCTACGAGGTAGTGGACTATTTCTTCCACGATTGTTAAAACCTCTACCTCTTCCTCTGTGACTCATTGGTCGTAGACTGTTGTTGTAACTATTAATCATTGGTTCATCACCATCACTAGGAAAAGTCATGTAATTTTTTTTGGTTCGGTCTTGTTTATAATTTTGCTTTTTAAATGATACTCTAGGTTTGGTATTTGAAAATTTCGAACGATCACTAGAATGACTGGTTCTATCATCATGACCTGTAATGCAATTTTTTAAAAACATCAAAAATACTTCAATTAGCAAATTTCAATAACATTAGAAATAGACTGGTATTAAAGATCACTGTCATAAAGATCAATACTGTCCAATTACATCAATCACAACAGAATGTAAAAATTCGCAACTCCACAAATGGAAAAAGGTTAACTTATCATCTATTTATCCTTACCAAAATATGATTTTGTTTCCGAATTATTTGACCAACCCTGTCCCCCCCAATGAGATTTATGAGGTTTTTTCGGCATAATAAGAAGTTAATCCTAAGTTCAATGATCGATTGAGGTGCAAAGAATCATTTGCTTTATTATTCAATATCTTGATGTCTGAACATAAAAAAACACTTTAAAACGAAGTTCGGCAGACTACATTGACTTACACTAGATTTTTTAACTACGGTCATTAATTATTGAATAAAGGTTGCCAAATTAAGTTTGTGTAAGAGTCATTTAAAATTATTTTTACCAATAATCAGGTACTTGTTTACTGTGGGTTGAACGTAAGAATATATATGCAACGGTGATATGACGTCATGCTGTACAAGAAGTAACCATAGCCATACAAAGAATAGACGGCTTAGTAGCAGCTGGGGCAGTGAGGCTGTGAGGCTCGCGTAGAAAGAGAAAGAAGACAAGGGCAGTGAGTTTTTCTCTCTACTATAGTATGTATGTTTACATTTACTGATAGGATAGGGTCGTACAGTACGTACAGGCTGATGTCATCAGCTAGCCTTAGCTTACTGAATCCCACCTTCAATGTTGTGTCTCTTTCTACTCACGCTTTAGCGCCGTACATAAAAACGAGCAGTTTACATTCCTCATATGTCTATAAGTGTTATGTAAAATATTTACCATTTCAAACTGACCGCCACTGATATGTACCATAAATGGAGGCTATCCACCGCACTGTCCCTCGACCCACTGTAAGTGAGTCTTTCTCTCTTGCACACTCACGGAGTGGAGTCGTGGGACTTGGAGTACAGGCAGAAGCAGTGAAGCACAGAAGCAGTCCTGGGTTGGTAAGTTACTTTAGGTAACTGACTTAGTTACTTACAAGTGATATACCTATAAATTATCTGGGTCACTTTCTGACACTGAATGTCGTTTCGTAAGAAAACAGCTGTGCCCATAGTGCCCATGCTGTGCATTGCAGAAGTAACTTTATTTGTACGTCCATTTAGGTAAGATTAATCATAATCAGAATTTATGAGTTAATTTCAACAATACCAATACAAACATCTGGGTTTTTAAATAAAAATGTACTGCTTTAGTTACAAGCTAACCAGTGTCGTCAAATGTAGTACCAAACGTAAAGCGCGAAATTCAAATCAGGTCTAACAACACAAGCGCCTGTCACCCAATGACCCAGAGCGCTTACTGGCTACTCTTATAAATTATAAATTGTTAATTAATAACACAAGCGTCTATCCCTTACAACCCAAGGCGTTTACTAGACGCCTCTATAGTGCCCATGCTGTGCATTGCAAAAGTAACTTTATTTGTACGTACATTTAGGTAAGATTAATTATAATAAAAATTTTTGAGTCAATTTCAACAATACCAATACAAACATCTGTGTCTTTAAACAAAAATGTACTGCTTTAGTTACAAGCTAACCAGTGTCCCCAAATGTAGTACCAAACGTAAAGCGCGAAATTCAAATCAGGTCTAACAACACAAGCGCCTATCACCCAATGACCCGGGGCGCTTACTGGCCACTCTTATAAACAATAAATTGTTAATTAATAACACAAGCGTCTATCACCCGATGACCCGGTGCGCTTACTGGCCACTGTAATTAATGTTAAAGTGTTAAATAATAACACAAGCACCTATCACATAATGACCCATAAATAACGTAGTTGCCAGTAAGCGCCCCGGGTGATCGGGNTCATCCTGATGGTAACACTAATTATTCACAGTAAATGACGCATTACAGTATTCTGCAGTTATTTCTAGATGACAAAATTTTTTTCCTTCTTCCAATTTGTAATTCTATGTGTTTTTTCAAATGAAATTACATATGGCATTACCGAGCTAAAACTCCTTATGTAATGCCATACGTAAAACCATATGTAATGCCCCATGGCTTTCCTAAAGGTATTACAGAAGTAATAACACATGGAATTCCGTCTTTCTTTTTCAGGTGGGATTAGTGACCCATGAATAACGTAGTGGCTATGCAGTAAGCGCCCCAGGTCATCGGGTGACAGTCACTTATGTTAAATAATTTATTATTTATATGAGTGGCCAGTAAGCGCCCGAGGTATTTGGATGATAGGCGCTTGCGTTATTAATTCACAATTCATTCTTTAGGAGAGCGGCTCATCAGCGCCCCGGGTCATTGGGTATTAGGCGCTCGTGTTATTAATTAATAATTTATTATTTGTAAGAGTGGCCAGTAGGCGCTCCGGGTCATCGTGTGATAGGCGCTCGTGTTGTTAGACCTGCAGGTTTGAATTTCGCACTTTACGTTCGGTACTACTTTTGGGTTTTGGACTGGTTATCAGACCATCAGACGCTTGCGCGCGCATAGGTTTCTGACAATTTGACATTTTTAGGTATCTTACAGGTAATTTACATGTAGAGTAAGAAACCTTTCATTTACGTCATTTACCCACCACTGGGCAGGAGTAAGCATCAGCGGGCTCCAGGAACTCCGCGAATGACTTTCGAATTGGGACATGAAAAAAATACCCAAAATTGCGAAATCGTTAGCAACGTTTGCAAACACTTTGCAAAAAATTATCGGATCTTCCGGTTGTCTATAAAAAAATAAAAACTAAATGATCCAGCGAGAGTCCGAATAAGTACGTTGTCTGGCTCAAATACTCCATGTACGGCTATGAAACTTACTTTAGTCGTTTGCAATTTAATTGTCGATGATGATTATCCATTGCATTATTGTAAAACTAACAGAAAAACAATGTGAAATAATTATTTCAGTCATTGCGAATGAAGTCTTCTCTGCAGCTATATATATAGATATAGCTCGAGAGCAGACAGCAACCAAACTGGCGAAAAATTTAAATATGTCGCACAGTAAAACAACTTCTATTAATATCAAGATTTATAATTTAAAATAGATATTGAAGAAAAACTAACACATGAGTCAGAGCAAATATATATTTATATAGGTACAGATATATATATTTATAGGTGTACAGCTCGAGTCACTCTAAAGAGATGCGCTCGAATGGGAGAAGGGATAACGAGCCTCATGTTCACATACACTGTCATTTGCGGATTGCTTTGATTTACGCAAAATAAGTACCCCTGAGCACAAAGTCAGTTCAAATAATTATAATTATTGAAGCTCACAATTTGTTAGTGCGAGAGTGCAATTAAGAAGTTGAAGTTGTTCTACTGTACGACATATTTGAATTTTCTGCCAGTTTGGTAGCTGTCTGCTCTCGAGAGCGCTATAGCTATACACACACACACACACACACACACACACACACATATATAGCTGCAGAGAAGACTTTATTCGCAATGACTGAAATAATTATTTTACATTGTTTTTCTGTTAGTTGTACAATAATGCAATAGATAATCATCATCGACAATTAAATTGCAAACGACTAAAGTAAGTTTCATGGCCGTATATGGAGTATTTGAGCTAGACAACGTACTTATTCGGACTCTCGCTGGACCATTTAGTTTTTATTTTCTTATAGACAACCGGAAGATCCGACAATTTTTTGCAAAGTGATTGCAAACGTTGCTAACGATTCCGTAATTTTGGATATTTTTTTCATGTCCCAATTCGAAAGTTATTCGCGGAGTTCCTGGAGCCGCATCTGCGCCTCTGCTCCGTGCTCCTGCCTGTGCCCCTTCCGCCTACAAGTCCAGCTGTATAAGTTTGGCCCCCAGAGTTTATAAATACCAAAATAAATTACACCATTAGATTGCGCGTAAAAAATACAACAAATTAGCGAACTCAACTTTTTTGCGCGTTGCCTTATTTTTTAATTATAAATGACAATTACTTGGGGGCTGCCCCCAAATTTCAATTGTATGATTTGCTTGAGTAGTAAGTCCTACAAAAATAAGTAAAGGCTTAAAAGATAGCGCGTGCATTGCGCCTGTTGCCCCCGAAATAGTTTTTTATAATTAATACATAGATTATTGCAAAAATTTTAATTATAAATAACAATTACTTGGGGGCTGCCCCCAAATTTCAATTGTATGATTTGCTTGAGTAGTAAGTCCTACAAAAATAAGTAAAGGCTTAAAAAATAGCGCATGCATTGCGCCTGTTGCCCCCGAAATAGTTTTTTATAATTAATAGATAAATTATTGCAAAAATTGTAATAAAACATTTTATTGTAAATTTTTTGCCCTCGCTTATGCGCAGACGATCTCCAACAAGTCTTGCGCTATTTCAGGTAATTCTTCCGGACCCCCTAACATTGCTTTACCGTACATGTATATTTTTACTTGCTCCATTTTTGTGTTAATATAGGTAAATTTAACATTCCACGTACACATTTTGAAACCACTTTATTCAACTCAATCATTATTTAATCGAGTGTAAAAACTAAAACAGAAAGAAAAAACTTGTGCCCATGATACCAGACGTCATTTTTGCAAACAATGATGAAAATTACTCTGGATCCAGTAAGCCTGTTGCAGAAGTGTCCTAAAGAACAATTAAGACAACTCTGCAAATCCAAGAGAAAAAGATGATAAAACTATTAAAAATACTATTGATAATACTAAGTTGGAGATCGTCTGCGCATGCGCGAGGGCAAAAAATTTACAATAAAATGTTTTATTACAATTTTTGCAATAATTTATCTATTAATTATAAAAAACTATTTCGGGGGCAACAGGCGCAATGCATGCGCTATTTTTTAAGCCTTTACTTATTTTTGTAGGACTTACTACTCAAGCAAATCATACAATTGAAATTTGGGGGCAGCCCCCAAGTAATTGTTATTTATAATTAAAAAATAAGGCAACGCGCAAAAAAGTTGAGTTCGCTAATTTGTTGTATTTTTTACGCGCAATCTAATGGTGTACTTTATTTTGGTATTTATAAACTCTGGGGGCTAAATTTATACAGCTCGCGCCGTGAGACTGCAGTGTCACTGCACCGTTAACATCCTATTTAACATTTTTTGTTTAGATCTGATAATGCCAGGTGGTGAGTTAGTTTATGTAACAATCGTGCAATAAATTATTCAATAATAATCGTATTTTCTTATCCTCTGACAACAAAAAGTAAATAGATGCATCTAGATTAAATGCAACATAGTGTAATTCTGAAAGTTTATTTATCTATATGTAGAGTTCTATATAAACTACTTTTTCTTTATTATTAATAATCTAGGGTCAATTTTGTAAGAGTGGATGTAACTTTCTAAGCAGGCATTTTACTGCAAAGCATCGCGTGACTTTAACGTGACATAAAAATGTATTATTCCAATACTAATTTTTAATCTGTGTTGCTAT